TACATTTTGGCTACGGAGAGAAACGAACGAAAGATGAAATCAAAATAGGAAATATACAAGGAAATGCAGTGAGATTCATCCTTCCTGAGATTTAATGGAGCCAATGCCATTAAGTTAATTAGAGCGACTGAAAGCTATTAGCTTTTGTTCTTAAATCTCCCCCGCTGAATAAAACATGATTTACTTAGCGTGACATCTTGACATGACTGGATTCTGGTCAGAATACAGAATAACGGACTGAAGCGAAAGACTTCCGTTCGTTCCACCAAGACGGACAACTTGTTAAACATTCCACAATTTAACGTCGTAGGTGCGATGTCGTCAATTCATGGTTGGTTAAGAGTTGTTTAGAATTAAGATATTCGATTATTCACGAATACTTTCAGTTGATTATTACCAAGTCAAATGACATCGCTTGGCATGGACAGGGACGCTGGGAGACTCAGGTGTTCAGAAGGTGTCTCTGTACAGTACGGACCGAAAGATAAATCAAAACCATCAATGAAGGCAAGTATGACTCAGTTAAACAGGCATTTCATAATCTTACCTTGATTCATCAGCGCTGATTTATAAAATATAATGTGTATTTTCTCAAAGGCTAGTGTTTACATTTCTCTTGAAGCTACAAGTAGAATGAATTATGTGTGTTTGTTCAGCTTTTCGATCGGCCGATGAATTACTTACTTATTTGCAAGTTTAAGTAGCGAAACGGCAAACTTATTTTCAGTCAGCAACGAATCGCAAAATTATCCTATATATTGCGTGGTTAAGAGTTTGAGTTTTATCGTCTGAATATTGATCATTTTAAGGTAATTGCTGTTGTATCTGTTCATCAGTTGTGGTCGTTGAGGTCTCATTGTTAGTACTCAGTTGTTACGGGCCGGAAAATATTTACCCTCTAATGATTTGCCTGGGCAAAGCATAGAGCAAAGACGAAACTCTTTTCGTCCTTCTCCGAGGCTTGTTTTCTTGTAGAGCGCAGTCTTTCATGGCTGTAGTTTTAAGCCGATACAGAGCAATTAGCCGCTGAATTAGATTTCAGCTAATGATGCAATGTTCTGCTGCGATAGTGTCGATTGTTTTGCTTAGAAATGACATTATCATGTTACCTTCGACTCGATCTGTCGTTTTGTTTTTTTTTTTAAATCTGCCAATTCAAAGACGTTTTAATTGTGATTACTTTCCAATTGTCATCTCTACGAGGCACAGTTCACTGATTTCGTGCGAAACTTTGGCAAAGCTTGTGCTTAGTTTTTCGATGCGATGAATCTGCTTTGCAGAAATTTTCGCATATGAAACGGAAGAAATGACGGAAGAACCTGAAGATTTGTCAGAATTAAAATTCCTCCCCAAAATCAGGAAAAAATAAATCGAATGGCCTCTGATTAATTTGTTGTCTTACATGTTTAGGAAGTTATAATTGTGAATCACTTAAAACGATTACAATATTACACAAAGGAAAAATTATGTCAACAAAATTATTCATTAACTTTCACGTGAGTTTTCATGCGATTGATGGAAAAAACACATAACAACCTTAACAATCTACTCTCCCGATCGATGCCAATTTAATTGGAAAACTCGTATTAGATACGTATCAAGGCACAATTATCTTATGGAGAGCTTTCAGTATTGGAGAGACTTTTTGACTGAAAGGTTTCAAAAGGTTTGTAGGAGCGTTTTCCCAATTTTCATAGATTTGGTAATTTTTTAAGTTCACTAGGTTATTTTGACCTAAAAATTGCTTTCTTCATTTTTAATATCGTAAACACTGTGCTGTGTTGTGATCAATCGTTTTCGTGAGTTCATTTTCACATGAATTGCAGTCGTCTGTCTCACGATGTAATCACTTTGGATGTAAATCATAACATTGCGTGATGCATGTTAGGGTCACGAAAATTATGCTATGAAATTTAAGCATTGTGCAGGTGATCGTCACCCTGAAAACAAGGTATCATGCCGAAATTATACTCAAAACTTCTCTTGACGCTCAATTTGATAATTCAGACTAATAGCTTTTAAAAGCCCTTCAACCTTCCTCCTTCGTTTCTATCATCAAGAGAATTTTTAAGAAGTTTTAGTCATTATGCCTGCATTATGCTCGGTGCTCTGGCTACAGCATTATGCACAAAATTATGCCGGCATAATTCATCTCATCCTCGTGCGAGTCTTTTTCATGCGATGTAAAGTTACGCGTCGCTTTAATCAACCTTTCTGCTCTGATGTTAATGGTAGGAATTCCACAGCTGCAATTGGTGCATTTCCACGAGACGTTCCCTCCGCGGTACTCTTTCGCGCGGCCCTCCAGCTAGTGAGTCTTGGCGATCTTCGGCATCCATGCTTGTGTCATTTCTTGTCTACTGTCCCTGTTGATGTTGTTATAGCGAAGTCGAATATCTCTGCCATGCTCTTTAACCTGCACAGGTCTACCAGTCTCGCCGGTGTAAACTTTAATACTTTACATGGGAATCTTGTAAACCACGCCATCTTGTTTTGCCTTGTCAAATGACCTGCAGTTTATAAATTTGTTTTGTTTTCGGGCGTTTAAGTTTCATCTCAAAAGATGATCTCAGATGCATCTCACATTTTAGACACGTATCTTCTGCATCTTATTTCCAGTGGTAAATAGTTTCTTAAAATAATTCATAATGATTTAACTTTAACTCTCTTTTTTTCAACTTGTAACAGCCTCCACATAGAAAAGACTCCTGGATTTACAGAACATTTAAGAAAAGATCTTGCGTTCAATTTATTCCCTCGGGGAAGGAAACAAGACGGTAAGTAACACAACAGCATAATAGCGGAACTCGCAGAGCGTAGCCCCATAATTATACAAAATGGTAATAACCCATCAAGCCGAAAAAAAATTGGATGTACGACCGTACGACCGTACAAGGTGCTACTTTTAACATGCGTGGTCAACTGTACCGCGGGCACGCCAACGCCACGGCTTTGTTCAGTAGTCCAGTGGTCAGTGCACTGGGATCCGAGTCGGACGACCCGGGTTCTAGTCCTGGCCGGGGCAAGGCGTTGTGCGCGGGGAAAAAAATGCGAGCTTTTGGGCTTGGCTAAATCTATACATTACGTCAGTGCAGTATATACCGTAAGAAAGCCTTTGAGCGGTTGCAACATAGTTTCATAACAGTTTCTAAACCGATCCTTCAAAGGAGTTGTGCGCCATCAGCCGCGAGTATCGTTACATAAATTTTCGTCTCTATAGTTGCTGCTGCGGTCTTCTGGACAAAGATCATCAAGGTGGGGCTACCCGCGGGATTCCAGGCGGTGATGTGAAGTGGAGTGTGACAAGCCATACAGAAGAACAACCAACGAACGCTTATGGTGAAGTGGAATTCACAGGAGCTGGGTTAGCAAGCAGAGCTAAGGTCAGTGTTTAATCAAGCAATAGAGCACAGGTTTTATGGTGTGATAAGGCCACGCGGGATATTTGGAGAACTCAGAAAAAATTGGCATTCACGAACCGTTGTGTACTTCATAGCCAGATACAGCACAGGTTTGGAAAGCAGATTGACCACTCAGCTGAAGCAAGCTCTGTACAACTATGTTATCAAGGAAGGTATTCCGTAAACCCCTAAGCTCACAAAGTGCGCTTTTCAACAGGATAAAATACAACCATCCGTAAAATATTTATCTTCAAATTTCCTTGATTTCTTTTGATAGTTTATTCGTATCGCTCATGATACTGATCCAGAGAAGATTCTTTGCCTCTTGAGAGAAGAATGGAGACTAGATTTGCCCAAACTGCTCATCTCTGTCACCGGCGGAGCTAAGAACTTTGTTCTACATCCCAAGTTAAAGTACGTGTTACGGCAAGGATTGCTGAAGGTATTTTTTTGGAGTAAAGTGTTATTCTTTGTTTTCAAATGTGACGAGCGTTCTGCCAACCCCTCGGATAAGCAATGTTAAAAACAATCTTTGTGTGTCACATATGAACCAAGCATAGGGGCTCGGAACTTTTTCTTTTTCCTACCTTCGTGAGCTACTAACCAGCGAGGAGAGGGGGAGGGTGGGGATAGGGGCTCAGAACTGTTGCTTTTTCCTACCTTCGTGAGCTACCAACCAGCGAGGAGAGGGGGAGGGTGGGGCTAAGGACTCAGAACTTTTGCTTTTTCCTAACTTCGTGAGCCACCAATTCGCGAGGAGAGGGGAGGGGTGGGGCTAGGGACTCAGAACTTTTGCTTTTACCTACCTTCGTGAGCTTCCAATTCGCGAGGAGAGGGGGAGGGTGGGGCTAGGGCCTCAGAACTTTGCTTTCTCCTACGTTCATGAGAGATGAATAAAGCCTTTCATTCTTCATAAAATTATTTTGACGAGGAGCTCAAACCTCATCATCTTAATTTAATTTATTTTACTTGCAATAATAAAGCGAGAAAAGTAGGATGACCGGGCCCTTGAGCATTAGAAAGCTCGGGAGAGGAGCAACGCCATGTGGGAGAGAGCTCGATTTAAACGTTTTCTTTCTATTGTAATATCTTATTTTGATCAAAATGGCCTTTGTTTACTGACGGTTTAGTCCTCTCATAGTCGACAAACTGAATTTTAATACCTGTTTCAAATCATTTTACTACTTTTCTTTACATACTCTACTACTGAGTTTTCTGTCTTATTAGTTTTTTTCAGCAACTTTAGTGGTTGCTTATATTACGGACAAATCATTTGACAGTTGCTAATAATGTTCCACAGGCAGCCCAGACCACAGGTGCATGGATCATCACAGGTGGAACAAACACTGGCGTGATGCGTCACGTTGGGGAAGCAGTAAAAGGTCACACAGTCATGTCACGTGGGGCACTGCTGTCGAAAGACAAAGCATCTCAGCTTCATCTTATAGGTATCGCTACCTGGGGGATTGTGGATCACAGAGAGGATTTGATCAACAGCCAGGTAGGACTCTTCTTCTTGGCCTAAACCAAATAGCTCTCACTTTTTACTGAAACTCCTATCAGAGAAAGGAAGAGCAGCTTTGGAGTTTTTTCCAGTTTCTGTACAATA